AAAGTGCAGTCTCTGCCCCCGCGCCTGGGTGTTCCTTCCCGGAGTCCCTTGGAGGGGAGTGGGTTGAGCTTTCCTCCCCGCCCCGACCAGGGCTACGGCAGCCGAAGACCTCCGGGACCAGCCACCACCATGCTGAGACCACTCTCCGCACACATGAAGGTACTGGCAGAGGGACAATGCCACGCGGGTTCCGGGGCCGAGACCTCCAAGCCTACTCGAATTGGAGTCGAGCATCTTCCACCCAGATCCTCCAAATTCCAGTAGGCGGGGGTCACACCCACCACCTGGCCCCCTGGCGCCGTGTAATCCCATCAGCGGCCAAGACTCAGAGACTATAAAATCTAGATCCCGGAACCGCGCGGCCGCATTTGCGGCCGCGCGACATCTTGTTACCTCATTCCTAGTTTGGACAAACTTGCAGGCTATCCGAATGTAGCCTGCCCACAGGGCAGAGTCTGGCAAACTCCCCGTGGCCTACCAAATATGCCAAATACCAGTAACAATGATGGGTCTCATTCTCCTAAAGAGCCGTGAATATAATCTCAGGGCTAGGATGAAAGAGACGTTACTGGGGCCTGCTCGAGGCAATCGACGATTAACAGGATGATGAAATGATGAAATGAAATGATGAAAAATAGTATACTAGGAATTTATAGTTAAGTAGTAATGTAGTTTTGTCACAAATCCAGAACATGCAGAAACTAAATATTAAATCCACAATGAGAGACTGGAACATTAAGTAGGAAAGTACCATGTAATTAATATAAAAAAAATTCCACACCTGAGTGGTCTCAGAATTTATACTAAAATAGTCCACTATCTTTAATATCGAGAATGATTACAAAATCATCCCAATACATTAGTGTTAAATTGTATAACACTAAGATAGAGAATGTCCAAATAGCACCAAGAAGAAATTATATCAACAAAACCAAAAAGGTGATATATTTATTATTCTATTTCATAAGCAGGCTTGCTTGGATAATAAAGTATTATTAAAATAAACACACCTCCAAAGAAATAAGAAAAGATTATTCCAAATGAGATATTTGTACCTATCTAAATGTGACGATGCTAAGGAGATATAAGATAACATTTTAAGTGATAACAAATTTATAACTTGCACTTATTTCTTGTCAGGAAACATTATTTTACTTTCATTTTTATCAATTCATCCTTAGATGTGATTATAGTTTTACATGCTTAGTTTACAATGCAACTACAGAATCTCCTGCCTGTGTGCCAGGCTGTCTTCACCAGGGCCCCCTTGGACAGGGTCGGGTTGACTTTCCCTCCCTACCCCAAGCAGAGCCCCAGCAGCCGAAAATCTCCAGAACGCAACCAGAGCCATGCTCAAGGCCACTCTCCACATGCTCGGAGGAGCCTCACCCATGAGGGAAGCAACTGAGGAATGGTATGCAAGACCCGTGGCTGAGATCTCCAAGCCTGTTCAGATCGGGACTGGGCCTCCTCCACCCAGATCCCTTGTTTTTCCTTGGCAGTCACACCCACAAACTGTCCCCAGTGCCATGTAATCTCATCAACAGCCAAGATCCAGAGACTATAAAACAAAGCTCCTGGAAGAGAGAGATGTGATATTTTCTTCCCGCACAGCAGAGCCTGGCAAGCTACCCATGGCATATTCAGCATGCCAAAAAAAAAAAAGTAACAATAACGAGCCTTATTCCCCTGTACCTGAATGAGCCTCCTAGACTAGTATGGAGGAATGCTAAAATCTCAGAGCTGGGACGAAAGGAGACGTTACTGGCACCTGCTTGAATTAATCAATGAACAATAGGAGGACCGTGATACAGTGATACAGTAAATTTACAATGTCTGTTATTAATAATTCAAATTTCAAAAGTTACTGAAAATTTTCAAAGGATTTTCAAAGTAAATATTCTTCCTTTGAGGTTAAGAATATAAACCTATTAATTCCTTTTGAATGTACATTTCATTCTCATGCACTTTCATTTTTTTCTTTTTTGACTCAAAATATTAGTTCTAGCTGTTTTAACTTTTCCTTTATATCACACCCTTATATCACACCCTATGTATACTTATATTATTTGATCTTCCTGGTATTTTTTTTGTCACATCTGACTTTGCTCAGATACTTGTCATGTCAGAGATCGAACCCTGGTCAACTTTGTGGAAGGCAAAATCCCTACCTTTTGTATTCTCTATCCAGCCCCCTCACTGCTGAATATTTTAATGGTTATTCCCTAAGGAATTATTCCTGGATTCTCTTCTGTAGAACTTGATTATTCAATATATAATTGAGCAAATTCATAGTTCAAATATTTTTGTTACTTATATTATTTTCAACATAAACATGCTCATAATGTTCATTCCATGTAAATAGTTTATGTATAGGGGTGCATGATCATACATTTTAAGAACTTTTAGTGGAAACATAAAAACAGTAATATGTAGGATAATCTTGATTCTTTCTCCCTCGCCACAAGGAGCTTAAGTTTATTGGGTCGCACCCATAACAGTGCTCCCAAGTCACTCCCATTTTTTGTTTAGCTGTAACCACTTCTCTATGCTCTCTTTCCCAACCAGTTAATCAGCTTATTCCCCTAATCAGACTGCTAATTTGTAAGGTCATATCTTTCTAGGACACTGAACTTGTATTGTAAATTAATATTCCCTTTCTCCTCTCCTTATGTCTTTTGAATAGCTTACTTTAAGGCAAAGTATAGACACAAGAAGACAATTTTTGTATAGACACAAAGACAATTTTTGTATAGACACAAAGAAGACAATTTTTGTATAGACACAAAAAGACAATTAATATTATGGTTTTTGTAACTTGGGATATAATTGGCTCCAAATATTATTCACTCCCGGGCATCTGATTTCTCAACTTAAGCCTCAGTTACCCTCAGTTCCTAGCACCCCAAAAGGAGGGTCCTGACGAGGGACTGAATGGATCCAGGGCAAGCTGTGAGCTACCCTGGCATTGAAATGGGCCAGCAAAAGCACCACGATTCTTAACTGTAAGTTAAGAGCTTGATCATGGACAAATGCTGTCATGATCCAAAAGTAATAATGAGACTAGGACCCTGCTAGGGATAGGAAAGACTAATCTGGCCTGAGCACTGTAGTCTGAGAGCGAGATGGCCCCAGGAGAGCAATTCTATAAGTTTAATGCATCTCTTACTGTGTCCGTACAAAATTATTAATATTCTGAATGCTTATATGTTTGTTGGGCAAGGAGAGGAGAAACACATCCATGGGATTCCACCCTTGAATGTGTCTTCCTGCTGAAAGAATCTGTACTAGAAGCAGCAGGCCCTGAGGGAAAGAACTTTAACCCTATTGATTGTGACCACACCTAAATGTAATCCCAAACCCTCATGGTTTGGGAATTTAACTAGACTGTAAGAGGGGGTTGGGGGATCAAGATTTTGTTCCAGAGCGAGGAGAATGAAGGGGGATCGAGGAGAAGAATGAAGTAGCATGGGGGAGGAAGAATTAGGAGGAGAATCAGAAGAGAATCAGAAAGGAGATTGGAATAGACGGCTATTGAGACCAACCAGCCTGGCTCTCGTCCTTCCTTCGGCTGCCCATGGCCAACAGCCATCCTGATTCAGTCCATACACAGCAGCTCAGAGAGCCCACAACACACACCCTTCAGTGTACGTAGTTTTTTACAGTAAGGTAAATAAATTAATTTTACTGAAGAGGAAAGAACATAGGGAGGTAAAGATATTGCCCACATACACTTTCTATTATGAATAGAATTTGGTAGAGAATAACTTTAGAAGTTTTTAGTATATCATACTCATTTACTCATGGCATTTTTATGGATATCCCTCTAAGCAGTTAATGTAAATACGCATGCAAAAGAATGTATTAATAATAATGATTGGTATAATTATTAGAACAAAGAATCCTAACATCACCCTAATTATTACTATAAAAAAACCCAGATGGATCCAAAATGGGTTATATTAATGATTAATTTAAAAACTTCAAAGACATTACAAGTATTTATTCAGTCTAAAAATTTTCATAGTATAATAATTTTCATAGATTATCTGCACTACATTTCACTTAAGTATAGCAACAGGTTCTTTTTGAAGATATGATTCCTTTAGCTTCCCATTATGCCTGACATTACTTCAATTCAAGTTACTTTTTAATTAATTTAGTTACAAATAACTAAGTTTATGTATATGTATATATATATATTAAAAATTCTGTTAAGATGTTTCTGGTGCTTCTGCTCATTGTTATGATTGACTCATATCCATCTGCAATTTCCTATTTGAAGTCTTAAACATTAATAACTCAAACTGTGACTATTTTGAGATGAGAACATTGTAGTGGTGGTTAAGATAAAAAGAGATAATGTAAGAGAGTTTTATATGACTAGTAGTTTGCAAGAATAATTAGCACAGAAGGAAGATTATGGGAAGACCAAGATGGTCATTTATATGATAAGATGATATTTCATTAGGGGGAAAAAATTCTTCAAAATCCTTGATGATGGACATTTAGTCTCAAGAATTATATACCTACTTTTGTAACAGGCTTGGAGTAATTCAAAATAGTGATGGTGGGAAGGTGTTATGGTGGTGAGATTGGTGTTGAAATATTGAATGTAATAAATTACTGTGAACTCCATAAAAGAAAGAATTATACCCCCGAAAAAGAGATATTTAAGTAGCCCAGCCTGTGTTGTTTTGTTATAGCAGTCTTAAAGAAATATTGTGATATAACAAAATAAAAAATGTGCCATAACATATGAATAAATTGCTAAGTTGGAAAAATATAGACCATATTATATTTTCCCTAATATCTCAGTGTCATGGGCTAAAATGAACTGTTCATTTATTCATAAGACTTTTTTTTTCATCTACAACTTGCAAAAGGCTGTAATTTCTGATGAGAATATTTTGGTCAACTAAAAGAGTTTTTACATGTTTGTTTTCTTCAGGGAGTCATGCATCATGTTATACCAAATAATATTTCAAGAGTAACCCCCCAAATTGCCCAATTATTTCCCCACTGCAGCTACAACATTAATTTAATAAAAAACACACAAAGAATTCCCACGGCATATTATTGTATCACATTATATTGGAATATAGTAATCAGTGATGATCAATAGCAAAGCTGGAACAGTTAGGGGAGGGAAAATATTTCAATGATTATTCCGAATTAGGAAAAGTTGAAGAAGATGGAGCTATGAAATATCAAGTGAAAAGTACAGTTTATGGAGATTTGAATGTTCAACTTCCACAGAACAATTATTGCTTATGTAATTGTAAAGTAAGCATTTAACAATGAACACAACCAAATACAAATTTCAAGTTAACCATATTTTATGCATTTTTCTAATGTGTGAATTATTATATCTACAATCTTACAAATATAAATATACCCAAAATATTTTATAAATAAAGCTAGGTATTGAATATGTTTTCTTGATGAACCTATAAGCAACACCTGTTTTTGCATATTGTTAAAAATTCCAGTAGTCACTTGGGTAGTTATAAGAAAATAAATTGCTTTATAGATACCATTTATTTTATGTGTATTTCTAGATAGTTTGCAATCCATCGAGAGTGATGTTTGAGTCTATTTCAATTTTATGATTATCAAATGTAATAATTCTTAAAAATAAGCATAAAATTAAGAATTAAAATTCCCTACAAAGTAGTTATATGAGATTATTTGTACTAGAATTAATGAAGAAAACAGTGCTAGTCATCAGTCTGAGCTCCAGTATTATAATGTTCACGGTTGAAATCTATGTTAGCAAAATAAACATATTGCCTGACTTTGTATTTTTTTCTCATTTTAGGAAATACTCATAGATTTGTAATTTTCTAAAATCCCTGATTTTACTTGCTTAATAATGTGTAATAAATATCCGAGAAATGCTCTAAATTTATTATGTATTATTTGATAGTTATTACATTTTATGCTCAAAAAATAATACTGTGAGGAATTATGAGAGGTTATATAAGGAGTTTATCTTCTCATGTTTAACAGAATGTCTCTTTTTAATCTAAAAGCCTTAATAAAAACATAATTTAAAACGTTATGTTTGACTTATGATTTAAACAATCTGCTCAGTTCTTAAAACCAACCTTCCACACCAGCCCGGTATTAAAATAAAACCAACATTTATTTTAATGTGAAATTTCAGCCCTGAGGCCTCTTTATAAAGAGGGATTTTTAAAATCGCATTTTAGAAAGTTTATTTTTTGGAAAAAAAATGTCACATCTTTAATGAACATTTAAAATATGAAGTAATATTAAGATCAAACATCGTTTGGAAAATTGGGATTACATGTTGGATTTGATAACGTCACATTTATTTGAATATCTTGAAAGGGTAGGAAACAAATATGGTTTCATATACAGTTTAAGAAAGAAAAAAAATGAAGTCTTAGGAGACAGAGTTCAGAAAGTATTTTTTTTTTGTTTTTTCCTTCCAAAGAAAAAAATTAGATGTAAGCACATTAGCAAGTTGCTATTGCGTCTTGGCGTAAAGGTTGTGTCTTGGTTATACGTCTTCCCGTTCTCTGAATTCTGCAGTGCCATCACAGCAGAGTGTACTGGATACAACTGAAATGATAAGAGTTTCAATAGGCACTTTAGTGGAATTAAGAAAAATCTAACACTCTTCCACCGTGATGCCACATAGCTCTCTTCCTTCAGGTTGTCACATTAGCAAATTGCATTTCATAGGCCTGAGCTTGTCTCAGTGTTTTCCCAAAATTTAAAAAAAAAAAAAAGGAAAATCAAGCACATACATACCATAGGCAGAATAAACCCAAACTGACAACAGGGTGAAGATAGCAACTTGCTAGAAACCAGAAAATCAAAGGTATCTTGTACTATAAAGTCGTGTGTTGTGTGTGAGAGTGGGGTGTGTGTGTGTGTGTGTGTGTGTGTGTGTGTGTGTGTGTGTGTGTTTTCTTTTTCCTCTTAAGTTTGTCCTGTTGCATCTAAGCATTTGCTCCTTCCCTAGGTGACCTTGTCAGGGTTAGAATTCTCTTCTTCTCCGAACAGGTCTGCCAAGACTTGAAAACGGGGTCCCCAGTCTGTGAGATAGTCATAGTCCTGGTCAGCCTCTGTGGTGAGGGAGTCTATGGAGCTCAGGGACTCTGCGATTGACCCGTTCCCCTCATAGGCGTAGGTGGCCAAGGAATCATAGGGAGGTGCGCTGGGGTCCACATCATGATCCTGCAGCCTTTGATTAATGAAATCCCTTATGTCTGTGTTGTCTTCCACGGGGGGTCTCTGGCGAGGTAAACAGAGAGGGTCTGGTTTTATATCCCTGCGGATTTTGTTATCTTCAATGACTTTGGGATTTCTCAGAGCACCGATGTCAAAGGCCTGCGTGTCCTCTTCCCCACCGCCTTCATCGTCGTAGTGGATCACGTTGTCTCTGATATCTTCCTTGGACGTCATCAGGGTATCTTTCTTCTTTTGCCTTCGCAGGGCTACGTACAGCACCACGATGGCTGGAATGAGACAGAAGTGCAAGTTTGAGAATAGGTCAGTCTACCTCTGGACATAACATGAAATTGACGAGGGAGTTCTGATGATTCGGTTTGCCTAATCCTATTAATGTCAATTGCATTTTCAGAAAGGATTTTTAAAAAATTTGGATATTCTTTAATGCACTGGACTGAACTTCCTTTTGCAACTGTAACTCACAAGAACCTAATCATTCACAAAGGAAACAACTGCAACCTCATAATGAGAATCATATCTAATATTTTAGAGTCAGGTTTAAAAAAAGGGGTATGCTCAAGGGGAAAAAAAGAATGCTTATTCTAAGTATCCAGAGAGCTGTATTGTATTTATATTGTGAATCTTGAATACTATAGCCTTTGTCTTGAAATATGAATATTATAGCCTACAGTAGCAAATATTGTGGATACCCAGATTTCCCAATTCTAATACTCTTGTGACTCTAAAGAAATACACTTCAACTATTCATATGATAAGCACTTTTAAAGAAATAAATGAGGGGTAGGCTATGCTACAGAAAATTAGCATTTTATGTATTGTGTCAACTGTCACTGTCCTCACGTTATTCATCAATTTGTTTGAGTGGGTCCAGTAAGTTCTCCACTGTGACACTTGTTACAGTGTTTGGCATATAGAATACATCAAGAGTAGCTTGCCAGGCTATGCTGTGCGGGTGAGATTCTCTTGGTAGCTTGCAGGGCTCTCTGTGAGGGGTGGAGGAATGAAAAACATGAGTAGGCTGGGTCAGCCACCTGCAAGGCAAATGCCCTATCTGCTGTGCTAGCCCATTGTGTCAACTAACAACCTCTATTTCTTCCATCGTGTGCCTGACAGTGACACTTTTGATCCTGTTTTAAGAGAAATCCTACATCTAAAATAGCTTGAGAGGTGATACGTCTCTTAAATGTAGTTAAGTGTAGTTAAATGTAGTTAAATGTCATTTCACTGATGCCAAACACAAGTTTCACCATCTTTCAAGAAGAATGCTAAATAGCTAGAAGTAAACTGAGTCATAGAAAGGTATATAACTTTGGTTATAGTTCTATGGGAATGAAAGAATGGACACTTTCTGTGTGATGCTGTTCACTGAACAGAATTGCTTACTTTGTTGGAAGTAGGCCAAAGAGAATGGACTCAAGTGTCTGGACATCTAAAACCATACTGAATTGATGAAGATATGCTCTGAGACTCCAAGACCCTTTAGCAAAGAGATGACTTGAAGGAAACAATTTGAACTTACACAATTATTGAAGACATAATTTCAGATGTGGAAACATCACTACCTCTTTAAGGTTATCTCATCAATGCAAATAAAGCACTGATACACTTTACTGTAAATAAGGGCATAAAAATTTATTCTACAGATTAAAGTTAATGCTGTGAATTAATATCAGCATTGTGATTATAGCAAGAACGATATTCTCTAAGACAAAAGGAAGTTCTGTCTTGGAGAAAGTTCAATATTCTCTTAAATTATCACATAATGCCTTACTTCTTAATTATTTTCTAGAAATTAAAAACCACTATTTTAGAAATTGAAATATTTCTAATAATACCCTTAACAAAATTAGGAAGATCAATTTTGCTGACTTTTAACATAATCAACTATATTTTGATTGAATAACAAATATGAATATACAATTATTTCTAATGTGTCCCCATTGGGGCAATATGTCTATCACTTTACTTTTGAGATTCTGACGACAGATTAATCTGTGAAATGGAGTCATTTGAGTAAAGCTGATGGAAGATGAAGTCTCTTAAATTAGGATTAAATTAATTTTCACAAAGATTTTGTAGAATAATTTTACCTTATCCTTTTCCTTTAGACTGATGCCAGATACTTTAGTTTGTTCTGCTCTAGTAAGAATAGTTAGAATACTGGTGTGGAAAGATATAAGACAATTGAAATAAGAATATAATTGGCTAACAGTTTGAAATTATTATTATGATTATTTTGCTTTTTGGGTCACACCTGGCAATGCACAGGGGTTACTCCTGGCTCTGCACTCAGGAGTAAATCCTGGCAGTGCTCAGGGGACCATATGGGATGCTGGGCAAGGTAAACACCCTACCCACTGTGCTATCGCTCCAGCCCCTAAATTTTTTTTAAAACATATTGCTATCTTTCTTTTTTTGTTTCTTGACCTTATTTTTCTTTCCTTCCCTTCTTTGGCATATAAGAACTATTCTTCATCAATTATGGTCAAAATTGGTAATATGAATTCATATTGGAAATGATTACTAGGATTCAAATTGAATGGAATAAACACCACGACAGTGAAATATGCTGTAGAAAATTTTGTGACAAGTACCACAAACTGGTATGACTTGAAAATTCTCAAGTGTTTGAGCATAGTTTTGGAAATGAATGATGTTCATTATTCTCAATTGTATAAATGTATGGGATATGACACAAATAGTTAATGTAATTTGATAATAGACATTTTCCCTTGCATCCAGCTATGGCCTTTACGGAAGAAAAGCTTTGTAATGGTAAAAGGTAGAAAAGGGAGGGAGGGAAGAAGGAAGGTTGGGATTGGAAACAAAGACGGAGAAAGAGAAAACTAAGAGACAGAGGGAGAGAGAAGAAAAATAAGGTTCTATTTAAACCAACCTAAGAGTATAACTATGCACAGTAGGATTGCAATCAGAGCACCGGTGCTAAGTCCAACAGGTAGAAAAATTGCTTCCACATTACAAGACAGGATGGTACCATCAGAGTCACATCTACAAACTCGTATAGTCATTGTATTTGTGCTGCTCTGGACAGGGTAACTGCTGTCTTCTATTACAACGGGGAGAAAATACAACTCTTGTTGCCTGCGGCTGTATCCATTTTTTCTTGCTTCAATTCCAGCTGTGTTGTCTACAAAACATGACATTTGTGATTTGGTAGTTAGTATAAGCTTCAATGCAGATCTTAAACTTGGTGTCTGTTAAACAGTAGGGGGTTCATCTTGAATCAGTAAAATATATCCACATCTTAGTTCTCTTACGTGATAAGAGTTATCCAAATGTACTTAAATACAATAAAAATAATCCGAAGGGAAAGAAGAAACATTAATCTTGACTTGTGTAACAATTACATTTTCTATTCAGAACGAATGTCGAATGGTTTCAACGTTTCAAGTCAAGAAGTGTACTGCTTTAATCCAATTTCTTTCTGATATCAAAATGTCATCAAGGAAAAATGTGATTTTATAGATGTTTCCAACAGAACAGACTAAGAAATAGTGTAATATACAAAGTGAATTAAAGGACCTTAGCTAAGAAACTGTTCTTTAAAATACAACTTAAACTTTCTATCTTAGATTAAAACTTAATTTTATCCTAATTTAAATTGATGCTTTTACACTCATATATAACCATACAAACACAAATCCATAGTAAAATATGAAAAGGCAAATCATGTCTTAAAACCCCTAGATTCATTTAAAAAGAAATGCAAGCATCATAAACTATATTGATCATTATTTAATACAATTGAATATAATTAAATGCAATTAAATGTAATACAATTAAAGAGGAATGCATTTCAATTATGACAAACTCAATCATAGGAATGCTTATTTGGGATATCCCCACACAGTAAAATTTAAATTTTATATAAATCATTTAATATATCTATTGATAGTTTAATCTGAATATAACTTTTCTCCAAATATTTTATTTTCATATAGCACTGAACTGTAGCACTCTCCTCCCATTGTTCATCGAATCGCTCAAACTGGCACCAGTAACGTCTCCACTGTGAAGACTTTTTGTTACTGATTTTGGCATATGGAATACACCATGGGGAGGTTGCCAGGCTCTGCCATGTGGACCAGATACTCTTCATAGCTTTCTAGGCTCTCCAAGAGGGACAGAGGAATCAAACCCACTGTGTTATCGCTCCGCAATCCATGAAAATGTACAATTGCATTATCACATCATTAAGTATGAGATTCATTATTTTAATCTTTCAGGTTAGGCCTGAGTGATGGTATAGCAGGTAGCGCATTTGCCTTGCATGGGGCTGCCAGGAGTGATTCCTGAATGCAAAGTCAGGAATAACCCTAGAGCATCAATGATTATGATCGAAAATGGCCTCACAAAATTAAATAAAGTTTTCAGTTCATAACATGCAATACTTAGAGCGTACTGCAAGCTCTGTGCTCAAGGATCACTCCTGTAGGCACAAGACACACACTGAAAGTAGACTATAGATTGACCACAATGGTCACTCAATACCTCTATTGCAAACCACAACACCCGAAAGGAAAGAGAGAGCAAAAGGGAATGCCCTGCCATAGAGGTTGGGCAGGACGGGGGTGGGGGGAATGAGGGGTGGGTGGGCTACTGGGTTCATTAATGGTGGAGAATGGGCACTGGTGAAAGGATGGGTACTTGATCATTGTATAACTGAAACCCAAACACAATAATCTGTAAGTCTGCAACTGTACCTCATGTTGTTTCACTAATAATAATTTTTTTTAAAAAAAGGATAAAACTAGATAAACTACATAAAATGCAAGAGCTTTGCCTACTGTATCTCTGGTCCCAAGTTTGCTTTTCAAAGAAACCTCCCATCAAAACTTTTCTAGTCACAAGCCATACAGTTATCAGACATTGAGCAATAATAAGTCCTAAGACAACTATAGTTAAGTGTGGAGTTAACATTTAAACAAAAACAAAAATGAAGCAAATCCAGAATTGAAAGTATCCAGCTGATGATGGATAGTGAAACAGGACGATCCAAGGGGTATGGATTTATTACGGTAAGCAAATAACAGAAATATTAATGTAAATGAGAATAATACCTGAGTCGTGAATTGCTAACTAGCAATTCCACGACACAGGTATTATCATAACTAGCAATTCAGGTCCAGTTGATTTTACCAAATTAGTCTAAGTGAATTTGTCATTCCTGAATACTACTTAGAAGTCTCCACAAAATGTGAATAGTTCCAACTCACGTAATTAAATCAGGTTTGGGACTCTGATCTCCCCTT